TTCTGCCGCGCACCGACTTTCTACGACTTTCTCGGTTTCGATTTCGTCGGGCACGCGTAAGCCGTTAGGAAAGTCGTACGGTCGATTTTGCGTGGACGTCCGTCGATGTTCGAGAAGGTTGTCCGTGACCGTGGCCGTGCTCGTGGCCGTGACCGTGGCCGAATCGATGCTCCTACTCGGTGCCGTTTCCTCGCCGAACGAACACCGATCGAGGTTCGCGTGCAGGAAACTAAAACTGATCTCGGGCAGGCCGTCCTCGTCGGTTTTCACCGATGCCACGGCGGTCAGCTCCACCGTGCTTCTGTGTCGTTTTTCTCCTCCTTCTCGTCCCGTGTCCTCGCGTTTTTCTTCGCTCGCCACCTGTTCCCTGCTCGTTCGACGCGCTTCGTCTTTTTCTTCTTCTTCCGCTTCGCTTGCTCGTCGTTCCATGGAAACGATCTCTGACCGATCGGTCGCGTCGGGAAACTCGTGGCAATGGATGATCACCGGCACCGGCGCGTCGTACCAGGTCGTGGTAGAACCGCCGTTAGCGTCGCTATTACCGTTGCTCAACGACGACGATAATTTCCTGATCGACTTCAACGATGCCCACGCGTGTCTAGCTTCCATTTTTCTTCGAATATTTTCCTTCGAAGCTTAAACGGTGCTCGAAATTACGAAACACTCGTTCGCGAGCCCTCCGCGGTAACTGGTTTTCATTTTCGTTCGATAACGCGAAACGAACCGAACGTTATTCGCGTTTCTCGGCAAAAGATTTCCGTTGCGGTTCGAGCAAAGATCGTCGAGGGTGAAAAGACACTGTACCGTCCGACAAAAACGTTTCGCTTAACCGTTCACAGAGTAACGAGTTATCCGATTATTCAACGATTCCGAAATTTCAAAAATCCTATACGAGTTAAATCTCCTAGAAATATACGTATACGCGTGTATACATATAAGTAAATATCGTAAATATAATATCGGAGGTTGTCGTTAACGAAGGTACGTTAGAAGCTTTCGAAAACGAACCGCGATTTCTATTTGTTGGAGCGTAGAGGAGGATCTTCGGCTGGTAGAATGCCAGCGAACGGGATACACGCGCGACAAAAACAGAGATTCCCGGCTCGAGCCAGCGTAAATTCCGAGGTATCGAAGAAAGATCGCAAACTCGGCTAGAAGGAACGAGAACGTCTCAGTCTCGGTCGCACCTTGCTCGAATGTCGCGTTACGTAAAGCGTTCACCGGTAAACGCCGCGCGGCGGTTATCGTTCAACTTGAACGTTCCAATTTCGCGAATGACCGTTTTTCCAAGCTCTCGTAGTCTGTTCAGACGCGCACTTTGCACCTCGACCGAGCGGCGCGAGTTCTCGGTTCGCGCGTTTATTTTCCGAATCGAAATACGCTTTCGCGATGAAAGTAAAATTTGACAGGCAATTTGCGCGCACGCAACGAACAACTACGGGACTAAATATAGAAACGACTATTTCTCTAATTATCTAATTATCTAATTATCGATCGGTGCGCAAGGTTGATCGGTTGGTGAGGAGCGCGCGGCGAGACAGAACATAAGGAATATTTTCGACGATTACATATTTTCTATATTCCGTTTCTACGAATCCTGTTTATACACAAGTCGTAGATCGAGCTTTCGCTTTCCTGCGCGATTCAAAAATTTCGTTCCAGCTGCGTGCTCGTTCGAACTCGTGGACGATTACGGTGACGACGTTAGTATACATGTTTCTCGATACGAAGAAAAAATCCGGTGACGCGGAAACTTTCGAGCGAAACGTTTAACGCGACATTACAACTCGTGGTTTAAAACGAGAAAAAACCGTTAATACAAATCGGCAGAGCGAATTTCGTAGTTTAAACGATCTCTAAAAGTTTGAAAAGTTTTATGAAAAATAAGCGTATCCGTGTTTATCGAAGAAAGAGTAGAAAAAATAGATAGAAATTAATGCGAAAGCATAAAGCACTATGGAACTCGCACCGATCACACCCAACACTCTGTTTCTTTTTTTAAAAAACTGCTCGATAAAACTCGTAAAATTCGGTCGGAACGCAAGGAGTTGCACTTTTATCGGGATTCTTTTTCGGGGTTCGCGATCCGATTCGATAACCGACGAACGATCGAACAAAGAATAAATCGAATCGGAGACTCGGCGAAGGATAGTAATTCGAGGCTGTTTGCGCGACGACGTTCCACTCGTGACTGGATCCACGTTGAATACCACGTATTATACAACAACGTCAAACAATTATATCCGTATTATGTTGCGTACACGCGTATTGCACAACGGAACAAACGGTGCACCGTAGCGTACCTCCACGAAAACGAGACGCGACTGTTCCGCGTGAAAATTTCATCTAACAATAACGTTAACGTCCTCGCGACGAGTCGTAAATCTTTCTTACGGGACCCTTACGCGACAGCCTTAAAAGAGTCAGAGGTCTGCGCTATAAATTTCATCGAACCCACGGTGCGATAAGGATGACGCTAAAATCACGGCATCCACGAATCTAAAAATTTTCAAATATTCTCAAGATTATTTTTATAACGTTATTGGATACAGATCTCTCCGTAAAAAAAAGAATAATTCTACGAGAAAGATTTCTAATTCAACTTTCGACTCTATTTTCTCTCTCCGGTATTCTTTTCGATTTCTTTAGGATTTCGATCGTATTTCGATTCGCCTGGCCCTATATACGCGTATTGCATAAGCGTTATCTTTACCTTTGAGGTAACCATAAATTATCTCGAATTATCTGGAATTATCAACGCGTCGAAAATAACCGTGAAACTCTGAATAAAGAGTGAATAAAGAGCCGCGTTATCTCGCAAAAGGATTCTCGCGATACTCGAATCGTTGTTAAATCTGCATATCGAATGTAACGAAGTCGCGATCGATAGCTTCGTATCTCTTCCGATCGTCGATCGATGTGATTCATAAAAAGCGTGTCGACCGATATACGTTGAGTCACGTAGCTTGCATAAACGACGTTGTTATTTTACCTAGTTGAATCCGTGTTTCTTCGAAACGTCATTCGAGGCGTCGAGAAAAAGCTTATACGAAAGTGTAAAGCATCAATTTTTTAACCAGTTACGTCCGCAAATTTCGTCGAATCGGAAGTTGGAATTTCGAAAGGTAACGATACCGTAGGATTATCGCGAAACATCGTGCCTTCCACTAAAATTATTGCCTCGGAATGCGTAGGCTCTAGGTTATGTTTCTTCGGCGAAAGTTACCGGTAATTCGATGCACCTTGCAATCTTGTTTAGAGAAAGCACCTGCAACGAATAAACGCGCGATGCGACGAATTACTATAAATATAATGTGAACCTATCCATCGCGGTTCTTTCGTTTCCAACGGAACTAGGAGAGGTAACGCGCGCGGCGGTAAAGCCAGATGTTCGAGCGACACGAGTAACGAATTCCAGCAACGTAACGATTCACTGAGAAAAACATTCGGATCGAAAGGTCTACTACCAGGGAAGAGACCGATGAAATATTTTGATCGTTTCGCGATTTCACTGGGCGTAGATGCGTCGATACTTCGAAAGGAGGGGCTCTGGCTCCCTGGTTAGGCGATCGTTGGTAATAACGCTGGAGCAGAAGCGAAGAGAGGCGAAGAGAGGCGAAGAGAGGCGAAGAGAGGCGGAGAAACACTGACGCGGCGGAGGATGCGGCGCGGTGACGCGGACGGAAACGCAACGCGCGTTGCAGCGTAATGCTCCGAAACGAATGCGACCAACAGCGAATAGTTGGGCCGAGTAACGCGTTTCTAGGCGGGAGGTTATTCTTTTTCTTTCCAACTTATATTTAGCCTCGTTCGGAGTTACCGAAACACGTGCCGAGTAGAAATCTACGTAACGCTCGCCTATCACCGAACGCGACCGGTAACAGATCGAACTCGCAGCAAATCGAATCGATCGATTTACCGCTCGTTCATCCGCTTCCAACTTATTCGTCTATATAGAAAAATGACTTTTTGCTTAGGCTCCTTACAATTATTTACGCGAAATTTAAGATGCCGAGAATCTTTTCTACGCGAATCCGTTAAACTCGAACTCGTGAGATTTGCACGGTTCGCAAATCGTCGTAAATTTCGAAACGTTCGGCTTTGTCGCGAGACCGAGTTACGAAATACGACTGTCTCGCGATAACGACGCTCCAGTGAAGCGGGCGCATCGCTTTTACGAAAAAATCTCGCGAAATCGTTCTAATTTCGCCTTTCGATCGCTCTTAGTTTCTCTCGCTCGAATTCTCTTGTTCTTACGATAATTCTATTATATTAATCGAACCGGTAATTCCAATAAAACCACGGAGATTCCATCCGAGAGAAATCCGTCTGTAGGATAAGAAAATGTAATATAGTCGAAATACTCGATAGTCGAAACTATACTATAACGATAATGATAACTGAAAATTGGAAAAATGATCGTTTAATTTTAAACGATTTAAAAGGCGGCCAACCTTGATCTCGCGCTGACGGTCAAACGTTAATGCCGGAGTAGATTGGAATCGTTAAAGATACGATTAAAAATCTTTGAGGAAATTATCTTGAACTTTGAATAAACCTAGTAAAGATTTATTTGTTTATTACAGGAAGATAAGAAGGAAATCGGTGGCCGCGATGATCGTGTCCGCGAAACACGATCGCGGTTAGTCGAATGTTTCTCCCGCGTAACAGGACGTCCGAGTGCAAAGACACGAAACCTTACGAGACAGGCTTAAGTAACTGGTTGAAAAAAAAAGCAACCGACAGAAAGAAAGGAAGCCGTTATGACGGAAGTAAACGGACAACTATCCGGTGTCGGACGCGACGCGAAGCGTTTTGCCTCCATTGACCCACTACTACTCGTTACACGATTTTTCAACTTAGGATCGGACTCACGATCGAAGATGATTCTTCTCTTTGACCGGTAATTTCGAAGGCAACTTGAAGGCCGTTCAAGCAGAAAACTTGCATTTATTTATTTTTCGGCAACTTTCTCTTCGAAGCGTGAATGGTTATCAAGTTTGTATTCGGTGCATAAAATCCTGCAAGAAACACCTGTATCGATCGGTAGGAGGTTAGAATCGAAATTGTCTAAAGTCTAAATCGCGTGAAATTAAAATGATTTCGTTCGTATAAGAAGAGTTTTCATCCGATGAGAATATTATTACGTTATACGAATGTAGTACTTACGAAGAAATTTCGATGATTCTTCGGATGCATGCAGCCGGCAAACCATTGACACTTAGATAGCATGGTAACGTCGCGTTTACTTCGAAATCGCGTACGATGAACGAATCTCATAGCTCGCTAGCGCATTTCACTGAACAGTCGGTTCTCTCGCATTCGCTCGATTCGGAACGATCGACGGGCAAAAAAATGACTGGTAAAATCGACTGGTACGCATAAAAGATAAGCAACGATGAGACGACGCGAGCAACTTGCCACGAAATCTTACCGATAATGTAACGTACATTCATTGTAAAAGCATGTTTGCGCTTATCGGATGATCCGTTGTCCGTTCAAGTCCGACCGTGTTTTACTTTTCACGAAACATCGTACGCCGATTAAGTAATCTCTGTCACGGAATTTCCTATACGAGACCGTTTTTCTCGAAATTCCTCGATCTCTGTCCACGATAACGCTTAACGCGCTTAACGATCAACGCGATCGAAACCGATCGAATAATTAGGTAAGAAAAGCGATTACCGTAGCTTCTACCGTAGCTTTCTCCTCCAGTTCAAACCGATCGAAACCGATGTATCGTGAATCGTAAACGCGCGTCGCGTCGTCGGCTAAATAGGATGGAACTAGGATGGAACTAGGATGGAACTAGGATGGACGAATACCGCTTGAAAGGTACATTTGTTCGCGATTCGAAGCATCGAATATTTTGTTTAGGGAGTGTCTAGAAAACGAGTTTCGGTATCTCGCGATCGAAGCATCCTAGGTCTGTGCGAGGATTAACGAGCTCCTTTGCTACGTATACGTTACCTTGTAACAATTACGACAAACGATAAGTAGCTTTATTAACGCGTTCGTTCGCTTTATTAGCAACGATCAAATTTCATTCGGTCGAACAACTAAACTTACGATTGGCCTTATTTTTATAAAATCTTACAATTTTCCGGATAAATCAAAGTCGATTTTATCGAGGGGAAATTCCAAGTTGCGACGATGCGAAACGACGAACAACAAAATACATACTAGGAAGCGCGTCAACGATCGAAAAGTCTATTATGTGTTCGGAATATAATCGGCATCGATACGCGTTCCGTATAGGAATCGATACCGGTTGCTCTCGTAACGATACCTATGGTGACGAGTATCAACCGGAAACGGTTCGTCGACCGGAACGAGGTTCTTTCACGAATCACTCGAGTTGCGAGCACCGTAACAAAACGTACCAAAGAACCGATACGAATCTGTTCTCTGTTAAACGGTCAAAATGCGATCGATCGCACGGAACGACCGATTTCTTCTTACAAATACCATTTCTAATTATAGTCACCGAGGATTTACGATTAAACTTTCGGTTGTTCGTATCTCGAAACGACTCGAAAACTCGAAAACGGACTTCCGACCAGCAAATTTCTTCGCTCGTTAAGTAGATAACGTTTCGGTCGATAAAGAATCTTTTTGCAAGGTAATAAAAACAAATCGAACCGATATTACTAACACGGCTACGGTACGATTCGATTTAAAAGATGAATTTATAATTGATTATTTTCTGATAATTATTATCGAATAGTATATTGGGTAAAGCACGGTAGAAGAAAAATTAATCGCGAAAGAAAACGAGTTCACTTGTAATTGGCGAAAATATGATATTCTACGTGTATACGTACATATACCGTATTAACGATACTTAATTATAGATATCGCATCGCGCAATGTTTCTAGTGCTCGCGATCGAACTTTGTGCACTGCGCGATTAAGTAGCTGATGATTCTACGCGAAAATCGTTGAATCGTCTATATGATTGAACGATCGAGGATTAATCGAAAGGAATTCCTTTAACCGGATGTCTAAATTCGATTACGATATCGATATCGATCGCGTTGACGCGCAGAACTTGTTGGATAGCTGACGCGAAGGTTCGCGAGGTCGATTCGAAAGTTGCTACGTTAGAGGAAAAAAATCAAAGGACGAATGGAAGAATCTCTGCAAGGAGGCAAAAGCTTTCCGTGGGACCGAAACCCGTTTCGTTGCGCGAATCGCTCGACTGTCCAGCATAATAAGATGCATGTCTGTGACGTAACACTTTCACCCCCGAGGCTCCTTCCTTTGTAAAACGCGATAAACTTCTCGCGATTCTTCTCCCCCATCCTGTCCACTCCCTGTTTTTCTCCTTTCCGTTCTTTTCGTTCTTTTCTCTCACCCACCCGTCTCTCGAACACTATAACCAATAATTACGTAACGAAATATAAACGTTTACACCGTGATCTCTCGAGACGATGTAATAAAGTTCGAGCCGAGAACCGCTCCTCGGCTTTCCGCGTCTAAACTCCGCTTTCTCTATC